TTTTTTTGTCTTTTTGAGACAGGGTCTCCCTGTAGTCCCACATGACCTGAACTCACTATGTAGACCAGGCTGGCCTTGAACTCACAACGATCTGCCTGCCTCTGCCTCCTGAGTGCTGGGATTAAAGGCGTGCGCCACTATCCAGCTTTTTTTTATGTGTGTGAGTGTTTTGCTGGCATGAATGTAAGTGCACCACCTGCATATAATATCTGCAGAGGCCAGAAGAGGGCATTGGATTCCCTGGAATTAGAGTTAGTCAGTTAGTAGCTGCCATGTTGGTGCTGGGAACTGAACCTCGGTCCTTTGGAAGAGGAGCTAGTGCTATTAATCACTGGCCCATCTCTCCAGCCCCTTGGCTTTGTTAATGATATTTGGGTAACTTCTAGCTACAAGAATCAAAAAAAAGTCTCAATATAAGCTGCTCACCCACAGGCCTTCCATCTCCCCAGATTCTGTAGGCCTTTGAAGCTGTCATTTCACTTTTTTTTGAAACAAGGTCTGACTAGACCAGACTGGCCTCTAACTCGAGATCTGCCTGCCTTTGCCTCTCAAGTGCTGAGATTAGAGTTGTGCACCATCATGCCTGCTCTTAAATTTATTCTTATTTTTTAATTATGTGTATGTGTGTGGAAGTGTGTGCATATGAGTGCAGGTGCCCATGGAGTTGAGAAGATCTGGAGCTGGACTTACAGGCAGGTGTCACCCAACATGGGTGCTAGGAACCAAACTTGGGTCCTCTGTAAGAGCAGGAAACATGCATAACCCCTGAGCCATCTCTCCATTCCCACCATTTAATTCTTAAGATCCATAAACTGGGCTCAGTCAATGGCCAGCTTCCTTTAAATATGGAGAGGTGTCATGGTCGATGAGTATCATTTAAGGGACAACTCCATCTAATTTTACCTAAAAATCCCTAGAGGAGTCTCAGCCTTTTCTTTGCTGTCCCAACAGGCCTGAGCTCATCTAGCCTCTGCCTGCTGTGCTTTGAATTCATATACAGATCAGAACCTGATGTGATAGCACCTGCTACTTGAGAGTCTGAAGCATCTTGAGTCCACAAGTTTGAAACTAGCCTGAGAGACATAGCAACATAACAAGACTGTCTTAAGAAAAACAAGAACAACTTGGAGTCTTTCTGGGTGGGCAAGAGCTGTGGCTTTAAGTGACTGAGACTGGAGAGCCAATATCTTACTACTCCTAATTTCTCATGTCCTTTTGCTATAGTGGTCACTAGCTCTTATCTCTATTAAGCCTTCCCCACCCTCCAGTCCAGGTCCTCCAAAACCCTTCCACAGAGGCAGTGTGGTACATTGGCTGGGATATAGGCCATTAAATTTTGTGACTTTATGACTTTGTAGTTTCTGTGTTTTTTTTTTTTTGTTGTTGTTGTTGTTTGAAAGTACTGGGGATTAAACCTGTGGCCTCACGTATACTAGACAAGTGCTCTGCCACTGAGCCCCAAAACGTATCTGCTTTGCTTGCATATATGCAAGTGCATCAAATGCATGCAGTGCCCCCAGGAGGTCAGTAGAGGGCATCAGATCCCCTGGAATTGGAGTTATAGTTGGTTGGTAGTAGCCTTGTGAAAGTGCTGGGAACCAAACCCGGGTCCTCTGCAAGAGCAGCCAGTGCTCTTACCAGTGAGCTATTTCTCCAGCCCAACTCATCAGTGCTTAAGGATGACATGAGACACTCTATTCCAGAGTCATAGTAAATGGCTGGTGAATTTTAACTGCTTTTTAGACCTTCTAGTGATAGTCACCTTGTAAATATATTTACTTAGCATGTATATGCTGGTCTATCATGTTTCCACAATCCCTGGAAAAAGATGGTCCCTAAAGGGATATTTGGGGGCTCCTCTATTAGTGTGTGGCAGGCTGTGTAACATACTTGGGGTAGATTTTGCCAACAAGCACCACTGCATTTTTATCCAACTCCATGAAAACAAAGTTGATCTTGCCCCAGTGGCTATTAAGAATGGTACAGAACTAGGTGTGGTGGCATACTCCTTTAATCCTGCACTTAGAGGCAGAGGCAGGCAGATCTCTGTGAGAATGAGACCAGTCTGGTCTACATAGCCAGTTCCAGGCCAACCAGGACTACATAGTGAGTCCTGTCTCAAAACGAAAAAAAACAAAGAGGGGCTGGAGAGATAGCTCCGCAGTTATGACTGCTCTTGCAGAGGACCTGGGTTCATTTCCCAACACTCATAGCAGCTAACAACCATAACTCAAGTTCCAGGGGATCCCATGCCTTCTTCTGACTTCCATGGGTATGACGTGGGCAAGGCACAGGCAGTACATTCATAAAAATATTTTTTTTAAATAAAGGATTCCTAGCTGGGCATGGTGGTGCACACCTTTAATCACAGCACTCGGAGGCAGAGGCAGGTGGATCTCTGTGAGTTCAAGGCCAGCCTGGTCTACATAGTGAGTTCCAGGGGCTGGAGAGATGGTTCAGCAGTTAAGAACACTGGTTGTTCTTACAGAAGACCCGGGTTCAAATCCCAGCACCCACATGGCAGCTAACAACTGTCCATAACTCCAGTCCCAGGGGATCTGACGGCCTCTTCGGACCTCCACAGGCATTGCACAACATGTAGGTACACTTACCTACATGCAGGCAATATAGACATACACATAAAATTAAATAAATTTTTTTTAAAAAAGGACTCCTAGGACCCAGAAATAACTCTAGCTCTCCCCTTCTTCAAGATCTAGGAACCATGTTGTGCCTCCATCTCCCTCAGCCAGTGGGCATTCCATCAGCCCATCTGTTCCTGTTCACTCGCCTGCATGGCATCAAACCTGGCCACATCTCTTCAGGAGCCATCTGTTGGTATGCATAGGAGTCTAACCCGGTTCTGTGCTGCCCTCCCAGAGCTGACTGATACCTGGCACTGTGTTGTCCAGTATGAAAGCAAGGCAACCTCCCACAAACATCTCTGTGGTCAGCAACACAGTCAGAATCTGGTCCACTTCAGGAATGCCTGTGAAATAAGCCAAAGGTCAGTGGGTATAATAGCCTTCTCAAGGGCAGAGCTCAGGGATTTCCCACTTATGGAAATGACTGTAAGCAGGCATGGCCACGAAATGTAACAAAGCCCTGACCTTCAAGCCTGTCTGTACCTCCTGACCATTTTTGGGTTCCACCCAAATGTCCCAGTTATTAACTTGGAACAAGTCACTTAGCCTCTGTGACTCTCATGCTTCTCTTAAAAATGGGGATGATAATAGAATCTGCCTCATGGAACTATTAGGAAAATTAAATGAGCATGTATTTAATTCATTACATAGTTCAGAGGTATAGATAGGAAGGTCAGGAGTTCAAGCCCACCCTCAGCTACATAATGAGTTTGAGGCCAGCCTGTACTATATGAAACCCTATTTGAGAAAAAAAAAAATTTAATTCAGCCCTAGAGCTGGAGAACACTGGCTGCCCTTGCAGAGGACCCAGGTTCAGTTCCCAGCACCCACGTGGCAGGTAACACCCATCCATAACTCCAATTCCAAGGGATTCAATACCTTCTTCTGACCCTCTCAGGCGTTGCACACACAACATGGGTGCTCTTACATTACATGCAGGCAATACACTCATACAGGCAATACACTCATACAGATAAAATAATAAAAAGTGGCCGGGCGTGGTGGCGCACACCTTTAATCCCAGCACTCGGGAGGCAGAGGCAGGTGGATCTCTGTGAGTTCAAGGCCAGCCTGGTCTACATAGTTCCAGGACAGCTGGGGCTACAGGGAGACCCTGTCTCAAAAAGACAAAAATAATAATAATAAAACATTTTTTTTTAATTTAGCCAGATATTGTGGCATACACCTTTACTCCCAGCACTGGGGAGGCAGAGGGAGGTGAATCTAGTTCCAGGCCAGCTGGGGCTACTGGGAGACCCTTGTCTCAAACCGACCCCCCTAAAAGAAAGTTTTCTTTTAAGCCTCTATCTGTTCACAGATAGTATTTTATAAAGTATGACTGCTAATTGGGCCCTCTGTTGCCAGTGAACATGCAGAAGTGGGAAGAATTGGTGGCTCTACCTGTGAAGCTTTTGAAGGAGGGCCTGTGCTCAGAAGTTCAGTGGGTATTTTTTGTGTTTTTTTGTCTTTTTTTTTTTGTCTTTTTGAGACAGGGTCTCCCTGTAGCCCCACCTGTCCTGGAACTCACTATGTAGACCAGGCTGGCCTTGAACTCACAGAGATCCGCCTGCCTCTGCCTCCCCAGTGCTGGGACTACAGGCGTGTACCACTACGCCTGGCTTTTTTTAGTCTTTTTGAGACAGGGTTTTACTGTAGCCTCAGCTGACCTGGAACTCAGTATGTAGACCAGGCTGGCCTTGAACTCACAGAGATCCACTTGCCTCTGCCTCTTGAGTGCTGGGATTAAAGACATGTACCACCATGCCCGGGCATGTTCAGTGGATTTTTTTGTTTGTTTGTTTTTTTCCTATGTGCTGGGCTAATGTGCTAATAAGTGCTTACTGAGTTTGTTTCCAACTCACATGTTCAGAATTTTAAGAGACCATCTCCCTCCCCCATCTCTGAAGACAGTAGTGAACGGGAGGTACCTGTGTTGATAGCACCTGGGTTGGAATCCAAGTAATTGGGCAGTGTGAGGCCGAAGAACATGGAAAACCCCAACACAAAGAGGTTACGGGAGGAGTTCATGTCCACGAACTGCAGGTTGGACAGTCCCACAGCTGTAATCACGCCTGCAAGTTAGGGGAACTAGTAAGAGATGCAGCCTGGATGGATGGGTCCCACCACTCCCAGCAGGCCTGCACCAGGCACTCACCGAAGAGCGTGCAGAACATTCCCCCCAGGATGGGATCTGGGAGTGAGGCAAAGAGTGCTGTGAACTTGCCAATGGTGCCCAGGACCAGCATGATACCCGAACCATATTGCACAACTCGTCTGCTGCCCACCTGCAGGAAGCCAGGGGCAGACTAGACCTCGGGGGCAGGGCTAGTTCCAGGGGGCAGGGCCTTTTGTAAGAATTAGGCATATAAGGGGCTGAAGAGATGGCTCAACAGTTAAGAACACTGGTTATTCTTGCAGAAGACCCAGGTTCAAATCCCATCACCCACATGGTAGCTAACAACTGTCCATAACTCCAGTCCCAGGGATCCGACAACCTTTTCTGACCGTGGGCATTGCACAACACGGGTGCACTTACCTACATGCAGGCAATACAGGCATACACATAAGAAAATAATAAAAAAGAATTAGGCAGATATGTGGGCTTCCTGCTTGTGGTAGGGAAGAATGATAGTGGGGTGCTCTCAAAGAGGGTGGGACTAGGTCAAGGCCAGGACTCTTGGAACAGGGCCTGTGCTGCTCTGGCTGATGGCGAGGCACCTTGGTAATCCCTAGGACGCCAATGTTGGGACTGGATGAGGTGGATCCGTTGCCTGTACCCAAAAGCCCAGCAATAATGCAGCAGATGCCTTCAGTGAAAATGCCCCTGAAAGGAAAAGTTGAGTGGAGTGTTGGTCTAGCTCCTTCACCAGTCTGTTCTGCACCCTGTGTACTGCCTGCCCCTGTCTGCCCATAGCACTCCCCACTCAGAACCAGGAGTTGGTACTGGCACCCAGAGTCCCAGCACTTCCTCCCTTGGGCAACTCAGCTTCGGTTTCCTCATCTGTACCACGAGGCTAATAAAGGTCTCAGTCTCCCAGCATGGTTAACCATTTGCCTAAGATAATGCCTAAGATAATGTGTGCCTAAGAGCTGGGCACACAGAAGGTTGTTGATGACTTGTGAAGGTTGTTGATGGTTGTTGAAGGTTGTTCACTGGGCCTCTTATCCCTTCAGCTGTTCCAAAAAACTACTGAGTGAGAAATGACACCCCCATTCCATACAGGAGGAGAATGAAGTCTAGAAGTGAGCAAGGGCTTGCCAAAGCCTATAACCATAGGTCTCAGTTCCATCCCTCCCTTTGCCTTCTGAGTGGCCCGTCAGAGGATCAGATATTGAGGAGGACAGGTGGGCATACCTATTGATAGCATGTACTGGAGGGGGTGGTGCGCCAGCCAGGCGGGCACAAGCATAGTAATCGCCAATGGACTCAATGATGCCTGCCAGGGTGGCACTGAACATCCCGAGGACTGCAGCCACAGTCACGGTGGGCAGGCCCCACTGACCTGGGATGAGAAAAAAAGAAAAAGAAAAAAACAGAACAGATACTTGAGAAGCCTGTGCTAGCTTGGGAATGAATGGAGGAATAGTTGAGAGTAAAGGGGCTGCTAAGGGGGCCTCAAGATGGGATGAGAGCCTATTTGGGTCACTCAGCGGCATGGATCGGGAGTAAAACCACCATTAGTGGCATACTACAAACATGGCCTCAGGTAAGCTTGTGTTGTCAGCTGAACTGAGATCACCAGGTAGCTCACATGATGCAGTTGGAAGCAGAGGGGCCTAAGGGGCTTGCTTACAAGGGTAGGGGATGCGGATCCAGGGAGAAATAGCCATGATGTCCCCGCGGGCATCAGTTCGAGCCTGAAAGCCATAGGCTGTGGGATCTGCAGGCAGCACGTCTGTCAGGGTCAGCACATAGCACAGCAGCCACACCGTCATGATGGCCAGCACGATCTGAAGCAGGTGGGGTGAGGGGGGTGCTGCAGGCACTGGAGATCTTGATCCAGACTAACCTGCTCCTGTGTAAGCCACAGCCCAGCCAGAATACTGGCTGTCACTCAGACCCCAATACCTACTCCAGCCTCTGGCTGAGACTTCACCACTGTTCTGGCCCTAGCTCCCATTCTACCCTAGCCCTTGCCCCCACCTTGACCTTAGCACAGGTCCAGCCCTTGCCCTAGTCCCAGTACTGCTAGCTTCTCACCGGAAACATCTTGAAGATCTGGATTCGGAAGAGAGTGAAGCCCTTGCCCCAGCGGTAAACAGGCAGCAGGAAGGTGAGGTTGCGCAGGTACTGGGAGAAGAAGACGATCAGGAGAATGGAGCTGGAGGCAGACAAAAGGAGGAAGTGGCTGGTAGGCCACGCTGGAGCCAGGAGACAGAACTAAGAAACAAGAAGTAAAAGGACTGGGAAGTAGAGGCTGGGCCTGGCCTTGCTCACCAAGCTGAGATGCCCCAGTGGGAGCCAGCTCGGTCACCAGCAGCTTGGAAAACAGAGAGGCCAATGAGGGAGACAGTGGGGGTGACCGTGAGAGGTCCAATGTAGCTGAGCAGGGCCCCAGGCAGCCCCATCAGTCCAATCACCACCTCCACCATGCTGGACACTATGATTGCACCCTGGACCTAAAAAGGAAAAATCAGCTATAAGTCACCATGATCTGGCCATTCACAGGCTGTAAGTTCCTTGACCACCTCCATGAATCCTAAAACTCAGCCATGGCCCTCCCATCTTGACCCTCCCTTGGGTCCTGGTCTCCTACCCACCTCTCGAATCCGAGGATGCCAGATATGAGAAGTGTTCAGGGGCAGACTCCAGTTACCATAGATCTCCTCTGGAGACAGAGAGGGAAAGAATACACTGCCATGAGTGCCCCTGGTGTTTGGACTCTCTCTCCTCCAGCCCAGGCATGGTGGCACACACACACCATTTTTTTTTTTGGTCTTTTTGAGACAGGGACTTCCTGTAACTCCAGCTGTCCTGGAACTCACTATGTAGACCAGGCTGGCCTTGAACTCACAGAGATCTGCCTGCCTCTGCCTCCCGAGTGCTTTGATTAAAGGAGTGCACCACCATGCCCAGCTATGTGGCACACACCTTTAGCCCCAGCACTTGGGAGGCAGAGGCAGGGAGACCTGTATGAGTTTAAGGGCAGCCTGGTCTACATACCAAGTTCCAGGCCAGCTGGGGCTACAAGGGAGACCTTGTCTCAAAAAAACTAACCAAACCAAACAAAAATGAGCTCACCTTCTGGGGGACATTTCCACCTCTCCAGGGACAGGATAGCTTTGGCAGGAACCAGAAATGCAAAGGCACTAGCCTGGAACAGCGGAAGCCTGGAGGGAGCATAGAGTATCCATGGAGGAATGGGTTGAGGGAGAGGGATAGAAGGGCAGGTAAGTTTGGACAGCCGGACACAGAGGATGGAGGTAAGAGAGGAAGAAGGGAGGGGCAGGACAGAAGGAAGTCAATGAGGCCTCAGGAAAAACACAAATGACTCCAGATCAAAACCCACCCTTTATCTTCAGAACCACTCCATTTCCATATTTGAAGTCTGCTCACAGCCACCCAACCACTACCACTCAGCCAATCACCTTTTATCAACCAGACCTAGGATTATTCACATGGGACCAGGAATTCCCCAAGCCTGCATAGGTATTGGAAGCCTGCTCCAGGGGCTGAGCAGTGGGGCAGGGAAGCAGTGCTTCTGAGCTTTCGCAGTAGGTATGGGAGGAGGAGGGGACCAGAATAGGAGCTCAGCCACCTAGCTCTAAAGCCTGACTGGTAGGAGCAGCAGATGAGGCAGAGTGACAGGGTTTTGGTTCCTCAGAAGCTCTCTGCAAAAGACCACCTACTCTGCCGTGCATCACTGCACCATTTGCACAAGAGCACATATGTTGGGGCTGGAGAGATGGATCAGCAGTTAAGAGCACTGACTGCTCTTGCAGAGGACCCAGGTTCAATTCCCACATCCACATGGCAGCTACAAACCGTCCTTAACTCTAGTCCCAGGGAAATCCGAAGCCCTCTTCTGACCTCCATGGCATTGCACCACACGAGTGCACTCACGTGCATGCAGGCAATACACTCATACACATAAAATTAAAATAATAAATTTTATATATATATGAAGAGCACATGTGTATATGTATGTTTACGGGATGGGGAGGCACAGCTCACCGGATGCCCACTGTGGTCTGGATGAGAGTGGTGATACCCACACAGGTGAAGATGGTGCCGATGAGCTGACTAACCATGTGCTGGTCCCGGCCCACACACAGCACCTCAGCCAGCAGGAAGGGCACGGCGATGGTACCACTGAAGCAGGTCAGGTAATGCTAGGATGGGAAAGGAGTGCATGAAGCCTGACCATGGAGCGCTCATGGAAACAGGGCACTCTCAGTCAGTGTTCTGAACCTGGGCAATGCTAGCAAGGTGCTCACTTGCACTGACAGTCCCCTCAGGAATTCCCAGAGAGCTGCTTCTCACCACTTAGGTTCCCCAGGCTCCCCCCAAGTTATTCCTCTGTCTTCAGTGGATGGGCCCTCTTCCCTATCATCCCCCATCCACAACCTTCCCAGGTCCCCTTTGCTTTCTTTGGCACTGCTGCTTGGTGACAGTCACTGTGCTAACCTTAAGTTTCTTTCTCTAGCCTGAGATGATCTTGTTGTCTAGGGAAGGGCTAGGATCTCTGTCCCAGGATTGGGGTGGAGAGATCTTGGGGAAGCCCACCTGGAAACCCAGCAAGATGCACAGGTACCATGGTGGCACGTCCTCGATTTTATACAACATGTCAAATTTGGGCTCCGAGGGCAAGGATGTCTGCAGGTCCCTGGTGGAAGTTTCTGCTGAGCCCAAGGACTCATGCTGAGGAAGGAGAGAACTGCAGCTCAGGGTAGAGTGATAAACAGCCAAATGTGTGCTGTCTGGCCTGAGGCAGGGACCCCAGTGGTCTCCCAGCAACTCAGTGAGGGTGGAACAACCTGGTGGTCACTGGGCCTGGCTGTACCTCCCTCCCACCTCCCACTGCTTCCTGCAGAGATGATGAACACATTCTGCTGGCTCCTGGAACCCTCAGGCTTGGGGCTTTCTAGTCAGCCCCCTAAATCAGAAGACTGGGAGGCACCAGACAAAAAAATCCAGGGAAGAAGCCTAGATTGTAAGTAGGCCCCCTCCTGTCCCATCTCTACCCCCTGGAGGTCCTTGCAGGTGTACTGCAGAGGAGGCAGGCCCCTATTGACCCCTAAGCCCAAGTTGGCCAGCTATTGACCCCCTAAGCCCAAGTCATCCAGCTCCAGCTCCTTCACCTCCACCTCCACTCCATCCCCAAAGTGCCACTTTCAGCTTAGGACTTCTACATTTTACCAAGTCCACAGAACTTTTGTCTGCCCTCCCAAAGACCCTCCATAGACTCTCCAAAGACTCTCCAAACACTCCACCCCACCCCACCCCACCCCGTCGTGTACCTGCCCAGCTCCCCTTTCCCAACCCCCAGCACCTGTGTCCGGCCCTCAGGATCTTCCTGAGCTCTCATCTTTGAGACACAGTTTTGAGAAGCTTCTGAGGAAGAAAGAGGACAGCTATACCAAGGCCAAGGAGGACTTTACTCTGCACATCAGACATTGTTCAAAGTAAATCTGTAACCAGGTCCATAGCCCCAGATTGCGAAAGGGGGACGTGGGCAGAGGTAAGGTATTAACTCTGGCTCTGGTAGTAAAGGCCACCCAAGACTGGGCCAGGATTACCTTCTGAGCAGTCCCTTCCCTACCTGCAATCCCAGGCTGGCACAAGGCCTGTTCTTGTTTCCCTAGTTACGGCCAGAGTCTAAGGGGTGAGGAAGGGACATTAAGAGGATGGATGACAGGAAAGGGAGTGGGCACAGCACTTAGCATCTTCCACGTGAGGCCTCTAGGTTTACTAATAACAAGTTAATCTTATCGTCATCACCATAACAATTCTCTTTCATGAGAGATGATCAAATGCCAATGTCTATATTTATAAAGGCTCTGTCATGTGAGTCCCCTGAGGTTAGGTGTTGTTAACTCTTTTACTGCTAAGGAAACAGACTTAGGAGTGAAATGACCAAGGCTAGACAGGAAGTGAGGTTTCAGAAAATCAATTCTAGGGTCTTGGTGCCCCTCCCTGTGGCCCTACACCACAGAGGTTTCCTGAGACAGCAACAGATAGGTCTCTGCAGCCTGTGCCCTATATCAGGGCCAGGATTCCTTTCCTCTCCTCACCAGGACTAGCTACCAAGTTTGTGGGACCTAGTGCAAATGAGAAGGGGACACTTGTTCCAAAAGTATGAAGAGTTTTGCTAGGTTTAGTGGCTAACAACTGTAATCCCAGAAATTAAGAGGCAGATCATTATGCATTCAAGGCAGCGTGGGCTAAATAACGAGTTTCATCCAGGCAAGCCTGAGGTATACTCATATCTCAAATAAAGGCATGGTGGTACATGCCTTTAATCCCAGCACTAGGGAGGCAGAGGCAAGCGGATCTCTGAGTTCAAGGCCAGCCTGGTCTACATGGTGAGTTCCAGGACAGCTGGGGCTACAGGGAGACCCTGTTTCAAAAAGACCAAAAAATAAATAAATAAATAAATAAATAGCTCTTGGAAGGCAGAGGCAGGTCCACCGTCTTCTGACCTCCACTGGCATTGCACAACACGGGTGCACTTACACACATGCAGGCAATACACTCATATGCATAATAAATAAATAAATAGGGGCTGGAGAGATGTCTCAGAGGTTAAGAGCACTGACTGCTCTTACAGAGGACCCGGGTTCGATCCCCAGCACTCACATGGCAGCTACAAACCATCCTTAACTCCAGTTCCAGGAGAATCCGAAGCCCTTTTCTGACTTCCACGGCATTGTATGACACAGGTGCACTCACGGACGTGCAGGCAATACACTCATACACATAAAATTAAAATAATAAAAAAATACTAAAAAAAAAATTACATGTCTACAAACTAAATAAAAACAACAGAATGCCTTTAATCCTAGCACTCTGGAGGCAGAGGCAGGAGATCTCACAGAGGCTAGCTGGAGCTACAGGGAAAGAAAAACCAGAAAAGGGCCAGCTAGATGGCTCCAGCGATCAAGCCTAATAACCTGAGTTTGATCCCTGAAACCCCCATGGTCATAGGAGAAAGCTGACTTCCACAGGTTATCCTCTGACCTATACATGTGCTCCTTGGCATGAACACCCAAACACAGGCATCATGTGCGAACACACACACACACACACGCTAATAAATGCAATTTATTAA